AATATGGCATCCATTCCAATGTTGAATAAAGTTGGTGACAAGATACCACCTTCCCTGACTCCAGAGTTTACAGTGAAAGCGTCACTTTCTTCATTATAGGCTTTTACTTTGCAGGATGTATGGCGATAAAGGGCTGTTATTATGCCACACAGCTTGTTTGGAATTCCGTCTTGATGTAATAACTTCCACAGACTTTCTCTATGAATGCTATCAAAAGCAGCGGTAAAGTCGAGAAAGGCAACATAGGTTGGCTGCCTGTACTCGTGGTGCAGTTCTAGTAGGTGTCGTAGGGCACTAATTTGGTCAATACACCCTCTCCCTGACCTAAAACCCGCCTGATTTTCCCGGGTTCTTTGTTGTCGTCCATCTTTTATACGATTCAGTATTATGGCCTCAAGAATCTTATATGCCAAATTAATTAGTGAAATTCCTCGGTAGTTTTTGCACTCGGTTTTGCTGCAAGGATCATAGGAAAAGAGTTATGAGTCACTTTTTTCAGTGCTGTGGTAACTTCGAATAGTCACTAAATGAACTGTTGTAAGTCAAGTTGTAAGTCTGTTGTGCTAACAAAGCACTTGGTTGCTTTTTGGTGATTTTCTGAGGTGTTTTCTCGCTCTGTCTGATGGTAGGACCTGCTTAGGTAACCTATCTTAATTTTATTCAATTATTTTCTCCCCAATCTCATACCACCCAAATGTGTGAATTCCAACATCTATCAGGTCCTTGATCGCCCAATAGTCTGGGATGGAAGACAGAGAGGAATGCTAGCTGATTTGAGCTTTACATTTTTGAAGGGATTCTCTGTCTTCTTTTTAGCATTCCTTTTAAAATTTTGCTTGCAGTCTTCAATACATCACTACGCATGCTGCATAATTTAACTGCAATTTAAACACCAAGAAATGTATGCTTCAAAATAGCACTACAATATTAATATAAAATAAAATGTTTATTATAAAATTAAAAATTAAAATTTATTAATAAATATTAATATGTTTGTGGGATTTTTGAGTCTTGCAACAGGTCCCCAAAAACTTATTTCACCTTTCTCCAGAACTCGAAAAATCATTATAAAAAGTCTAGCGGCTCTAGCCTACCAGTAAAACTACTACTCCCAAAATGCAGTTCTCCGCTCCACTCCTCCCATTTTTGACAAGACCACGTAACTCAATGGGAGTGGTAGGATACGGTTTAGTTCCTGTCATCCTTTGCTGCATACGTTCACGCCTGTCATTTGCTGACGTATGGTCCTATGGAAGTTGCGGTCCTTCCTGTGAACGCTATCACAAAGGGCCAGGAAGGAACTACAGTTACCGTCATGCATCACTCCCTCCCCGGCCAAGCTTGGAACGGTGCGATCTATCCCGGGACTGATAGCCTCTCCCTTTTGGTCTTGAGGGGGGAAGGACTACAACTCCCGGCATGCCTCGCCCACATCTTTTGATGTTTACCCTTCCCCCCCGAGTCTTAGGAAGGGGATTCTCCCCAAGATGGCGCGTCCTGCTTTAAGGGGTTCGGGGGGTGGAGCCTGTACCCCCGCCGGCTCCCTGGATTATTGCTTGGCCCAGCTGCAGAGGGGGGCCGAGCCAGGGCTGGGCAAGGCCTTATTGGCCCTCAGAACCCAGCACATCAAGGAAGCGAAGGGCATTGCCCGTTTCAGGACCCACGGGGGGCTGGCGCCACTTTTGGGGATCCTATCCGGCTCCCCGCGATCGCGCCGCACTTTGGATCTGGCCCTCAGCATCTTGGGCAACTGCTGCACCGAAGGGGGCAGCCGCACCCATGTGCGCGAACTTGGGGGGATCCCGCCGCTAGGTGAGTGAAAAAAGTGTGTGGAGGGAGGCAGAAGGGAGGGGGTTATGGCTAAATAAGTGCGCCCCCCCCCCGCGATTTCTGGAAGGGTGGGGCTGTTTCAACGTCTCCCGTCCGAGCCTGATCAGACACGTCTTGGACTTCAACTCCCAGGATTCCCAGGCAGACAGGCCGGTGGGCGAGCTGCAGCGGGAATTGTGGGAGTTGAAGTCCGCAGCGTCGGGAAAGGCATCTCGCCCTGCCCAAGGAGTGAAGAGAACAGCCTTGTGAGGAGAGGGAATCCCTGTTCCCATTAAGCCGAGCTTTCCCCTCTTCTTCCACCCACCCCCCCCAGATCTCCCCACTTGTAGGTCCTTCTCAAGGACCTACAAGTGGGACCTACAAGGACCTTCTCCCAGATCTCCCCACTTGTATTTCCTTCTCAAATCACGGCGCCCGTGGGGGGGGGAGAAGGGAGATCCGTTTTACGCCCCCTTAAATTGGAAGATTTATTATTCATTGTTTTGTTTATTTATTTTGAAAACAATTACAAAGTGACAGGTATCAGTATAGTCATAGACATTATCGCAGGACATTTGTAGAAATAGATGGCTATAAATAAGCATAACCTGGCCATGAACACATCAAATGAGTACATATCAATGGGGACAGTAGGACGGGGACGGTAGGCACGCTGGTGCGCTTATGCGCGCGCGCACACACACACACACACACACACACACCCCTTTATGGACCTCTTAGAAATGGGGTGAAGTGGATAGTTTAAGGTTGAAGCTGTGGGGGTTTGAGGATGTAACAACAATCAGGTAGAGTGTTCCAGGCATTGACCACTTTGTTGCTGAAGTTTTATTTTGTGCAGTCTAATTTGGACCGGCTTACTGTGTAACCTTTGGATTCAAAAGGATGATAACCTCAAAAAGGACTTAAGGATGTTGGAAGTGGACAAGCATAATACTCAGGTTTTCTCCCCCTTAGTCTTAGAGAGGATTTCAACTAGAAGTAATTCTCATTTCTTTAAACTTGCAATCTTAAGGATTTAAAACCATGCCAATCTGAGCCTTGTGTATCGGCCCGGACCATCCCTAATACTGGGAGCATCTCAAGTTAGATTTGTGATGGTTTACGGGCTAAAATGCTTGCAAAGATCCTTTTAAAAAAATGACAGCTAAGTTATACCTAGTTTTGTAACTTGGGTCTGCAGTTCCTTTACTTGGCACGCCACCTGCCTGTTAATACTGTGAATACTGCAGCTTCGTCCTTTAAAATGAAAGGACGGAGGAAATGGATCATGATTTCCAGCCAGCAAAAACAAGTTTAGATTCTATTAATATTTACCTTTTGATTTTATCAGACTCTCTCTGATGCCAAGTTATGAGGCTATGCTAAGTACTTTTTGTTTAGATAACTAACTGCCTGCAAGAATTGGCTAATAGATGTTTTTTTTTCTGAATTGGAGCTTATACCAGGGCATGACCTAGCAGTGGAAAGATCTCATAAGTGCATGTATACTCTGCATGGAAGGGACTTGCAACTTTTCCAGAAATACCTAGCATCACACAGCACTTGGTATAATATGTAAAATGTAGGAAGTTGTTATTTATCTTTAAATTAGATGCATATCCTGCTTTTATTTTTTTACAGCTTAAGCCAGTATACATAATGCTATTTCCTCCAATTTTCCCTATGAGTAATAACCCTGTGAGATGGGTTTGGCTGAGAAAGAGTGACTGGCCAGAAGCCACACAGCTGACCTTTTTTTTTTTTTTTTTTGCATAAGGAAAGACTAGAACTCACAATCTCCCAGCTTTTAGTCTACATCAAACTGGTGTTTTTTAAAAGATGATATTCTATAATACATGGATTGGATTGGCATCAGATAGCAGGTGTTGCCCATCCTAGAGATTCCTGCCTCTTAGCAGAAAGTAATTAAAAAGCTAAATGTATTATTGTGCCACAAGATTCTTCCCTCCCTTCTCCCCACTGGCTAAGACAGCTACTTCTCTGAAAGATGTTGTGGTTTTACAGCTGGATTATCAAATTGCAACCTTTCCCCACTTTCTCTGTTTCTAGTTACTATCCTGAAGTCGCTTGCTGTGGAAAGTATCCTGAATCGAGCAGCACGGGCACTCGGCAACTTGGCTATAGATTCAGAAAATTGCCAGGCCATCCATGAAGCAGGTTGAACAGGGGTTGGGTGGGGAAGAGGATAGGATCTATGTTAAGTGTAGAACTGAGATTTGTAGCATGTGTATGTATTTAGACAGACATACACAAGTCCTCATTTACCAACCACTCATTCAGTGATCTTCTAAGTTACAACAATGCTGAAAAAGGAGACTTGTGACCCCTCCTTGAAGTTGTAACTGTTGCCACTTTCTTGAGGTCACATGATTGCGGTTGGGGTGTTTTGACAACTGGTAAACATTTACAACGGTTGCAGCATCCGACAGTCATGTGATCTCCCTTTGTGACCTTCAGGGCTGGCTTCTAACAAGCAAAGTCATTGGAGAAGCCAACGGGAAGCTGTTAAATCGGAGTCATCTGACATTGTATTAAATCGTTGCAGGTGATTTCCTTAATGACAGCATCTGGAATTGATGTGATCACATGTCACACTTAATGACCATGCCACTTAGCGACAGATTGTGGTTGGTAAGTGAGGAGTATCGGTGACCTATCTTTCTCACCCACTTAATGGTTAAAGGGCATTTCAAGTTTATTTTCCAATATTGTTAGTTAGACTTTCTCCTCCTCCCTTTCTCCATTATGAACAGACACAGAGAGAGAGGGAAAGAGAGGGGAAGATTAAGAGCTATTAATTGCTTGGAGTCAATATAGCACTGTGGAAAAAGATTCTTTGTTCAGCAGTATTAGGCACCCTCAGCCACATTTATGTTCCCACATTCTCAACTGCCCCTTACAAATATGCAGATTCTATTGCATATCTTTAGCATGTCTAATATGCTTGGCTACTGTGAGGGCTTGAAATAGTAAAAAAAATACATTTTATATATTCTGTTAATAATACCTGGTGCAAATTCTGGGGGGCATCATAAATATATAAAAATTCCTTAGTGGAATTTACATTTAACATAGTAAAACCTTTGCAATACAGTAGTCCTCAACCTATGACTATAATTGAGCCTAGAATTTATGTTGCGGAGTGAGACATTTGTTAGGCAGGCTTTGCCCCATTTTATGACTTTTCTTGCCATATTTGTTAAGTGAATCACTGCAGTTGTTAAATTAGTGACATGGTTGATAAGTTAATTGGCTTCTCCATGGACTTTGCTTGTCAAGTCACCAAAAGGTGATCACATGACTCCTGGACATTGCAGCCGTGTTAGATATGAGTCCATTGCCAAAGCATCTGGGTTTTGATCACATGACCATGGGGATGCTACAACAGTCATTTGTGAAAATTGGTCATAAGTCATTTTTTAAAAATGTTTAAAACTTTGAATGGTCATTAAACAAACTGTTGTAAGTCTACCTGTCATTTGAGACAACTAAAAATAGGTTTGACTCATGTTTATGTAGGATATTGTGACTGGATTTCTCTTCCTTGTCATTTTCTCACCACCCGAATATTTTTCCTTACAGGAGCCGTGCCCCAACTAATCCAGGTTCTCACTACCTCCCAGGACAGTGAATGTTTGCAGAGTGTGATCAGGGCCATTCGCTATCTGGCCAATACTCCTGCTCATCGTCTGGTGCTGGCCCAGCAGGGGGCGGTCCGCCCCATAGCGGAGCGCTTGACTTCCTCCCTGGAGGATGGGCCCCTGATTGCAGCCGCGGTGCGCGCTCTCATGGAGCTCTCAAAGGGCTGCAGTCGTGACTTTGCAGAGCAGCTCAGCTTGGGAGGCGGGATAGCACCCCTTGTGGCCTTAGCTAGCCACGAGAAGCGGGTGGTGCAGGAATCGGCCCTTGCGGTCCTGGCCAACCTCTGTCTGCAGGGCATGCTGAGGCCAGCTATAGGCAACGCTGGTGGGGTGGAGTTGCTAGTGGGGGAGATCCAACGTCGGAGGGGAGCCAGAGCACCTGGCGCCTCCCTCTATCCGCTGGTGAAAGCTTTGTGCCTCCTGTGCCGCGAGGCAGTTAATCGGAGCCGGGTGCGTGAAACCGGAGGATTAGAGTTACTGCTCTCTCTCTTGCGGGACCAATGTCACAGCTATTCACATGCTCGGGTGGTGGTGGCTTTCTTGGCCTTTTTCTACGATGAGGAAGCCCTGGGGAAGCTGCAGGCTGGAGGACTGGTGCCCTTGCTGGTTGGCAGGCTGGCGGCCCAGAGTGAGTGGGCAGGCCGGGAACAAGTGGAGGAGGAGAGGGAAGAACATGAAGATGAGAAAGATGCGGCATCGTTTGACTTCCCTGCTGAGGCGCGGCGAGGAGAGCAGGCTTTACCAGGAGCAGAGAGTTCCAGCTTTCAGAGCCTCAGGTAGATTTGGTTTTAGCCTGGAGATCATCTGAGTGCAGGGACTGTTCCAACAGCTCTAGATGGGCTGGGCTACAAATCACTCAGATGTGTTGGGTCTGCTGCCTCATCGTCATTGGCCAAGTTGGGCTTGGGTTCCAATAAGAAGCATTGTACAAGTAGTCCTCGACTTACAACACAACTGAATCCAAAATTTATGTTGTTAAGCGAGACACTTGTTACGTGATTTTTATTTTGCCCCATTTTACGACCTTCATGGCTTCTGTTGTTAAGTGAATCACTGCAGTTGTTAAGTTAGCAACAGGTTTGTTAAATGAATCTGACTTCCCCATTGACTTTGTTTGTCAGAAGGTGGCAAAAGGAGATCACATGACCCCCAGGGCCACTGCATCTGTCATAAATACGAATCAGTTCCCTAGCACCTGAATTTTGATCACATGACCATGGGGATGCTGCAGTGATCATGAAAGCTGCAACATTCAGTGCCTTCGTAACTTTGAATGGTCACTAAATGCACAGTAAGTCAAGAACTACCTATACGCCAATGCTCTTAAGCGGTATTGCAGTGGAAAAGGCAGCTTTATAAATCAGAGATGGATGGGATTAAGTCTGAAAAGCTGCCAGAAATGTGCTTACATTCTGAAGCCCATTTGGAAAATGGATGGTAAACATGAGCAGACAATTAAAAAAAGGAAAACTTCATCAACCCTTTAGATTTTTTTAGCACATATGTAAATAAAGGACAGTTGTTTATCTTGCATATCCTAATGCAGTCCTAAGTTGCATTAACAGAGGGATTCAATCAAGATCATGTGAGGTCCTCATACCACCCTATAAAGCCTTAGTAAGACCAAACCTGGAATACTGCATCCAGTTTTTGTCACCATACTATCAAAAAGATGTTGAGACTCTATAAAAAGTGCAGTGAAGAGGAACAAAATGATTAGCAGACTGGAGGCTAAACCATAGGATGAATGGTTGCAGGAACTGGGCATGGCTAGTCTAGGGAAGAAAAAGACCAGGGGAGACATGATATCAGTGTTCCAATATTTGAGGGACTGCCACAGAGAGGAAGGGGTCAAGCTATTTTCCAAGGACAGACAAGGAATAATGGATGGAAACCGATCAAGGAGGGATTAAACTTAGAAATAAGGATAATTTTTTCTGACAGTGAGAACTATCAACCAATGGAATAGAAATTGCCTTCAGACGTTGTGGGAGCTTCATCACTGGAAGCTTTGAAGAAGAGACTGGGCTGTCAGAAATGGTGCAGGGTCTCCTGCTTGGCCAGGGGATTGGCCTAGATGACCTACAAGGTCCCTTCCAACTCTGTTATTTTGTTCTGTTATTCTGATATCCGATCCTGGGATTTCCTAAATTGAAATTCTAGGAAATCCCTTGCAAACTGGAAAAGACAGAAATATCCAAATAAGGAGCGGGTGGGCAGTAGAGGAAAGCAGAGCTGGGCAATTTATTTTCTCTGATTGCTGCCAGCTCTGCAGAGTCACTTCTGCATTCTTCCTAGAAAGTTCACCTGGCTTACAGGTCCAGCTGTTTGTTTTTCTTTTAACGGGAAGTTGAATTTCTCTGAATTTGGGGCCTCTGATTTGATTTACTCCCGAAAACCCTTCAGCAGATGAAAATGCCTTGCTGACCCTGTGAAGCTAAGCAGAGTCAGGACTGGTTGATACCTGAATGGGAGACCGGCAATTACTATTCCAAAATAATTGGAAAAAATTTTTTTAAAAAAAATCCCAGAAGCCCTAGAGGTCACTATGAAGTCATCAGGAGTCGAGTTCAGTTGAAGGGGCTAGTCCTTGACTTACATGAATTCATTTAGTGACCGTTCAAAGTTGTAACGGCACTGAAAAAAGTGACTTGCAACAACTGATTCTCGTACTTGACTGTCACAATGCCCCTGGGGTCCCACGATCAAATTTTGAATCATCTGGCATCCTGCACGTATTTACGATCGTTGTGGCATCAAAGTCAAAGCCAGACTTTTCTTCACAACTGCATGATTCATTTAAAAGTTGCAAAGATTTGCTTATCTTGTTTCCCCTAAAATAAGATCTCCCCAGATAATAAGCCCAATCGGGCTTTTGAGCGCATGCACTAAAATAAACCCTCCCCCAAAAATATTGCAACACCGCAGCAGCCATGAGGTGACGCTGCCTCCTGCACTTCAAAAATAATAAAACCTCCCCAAAAATAAGGTGAAGCATATATTTTGTGGGTCAAAAGAAAATAAGACCCTGTCTTATTTTCGGGGAAACACAGTTATCAACTTTGGCAAGAAGGTTGTAAAATCATGCACGTCTCACAAGTGCCTTATTTAGCAATGGAAATTCCCCAGTGGCTGGCTGGGAAATTCTGGGAGTTGAAGTCCACATACCTTACAAGTTGCCAAGATTAAGACTACATACTGCATTGTAATAACACAAAAATTCAGTGTACTATAAACCAGTGGTCTTTTTATGTCCTGAATGGCTTGGCACATCTTTCATTATTTTTCCACCAGGTATGGATGGCTTGTGAGGAGCACCACTCTGCAGAAGGAGAATCTTCTGATTTTCTAATTCGGATAATTGAAAAATTTGCAGTTAAGAGAGTTCAACTTTACACAGTTTTTGTTCTAGTGCTTTTAGCCAAACGTGCTCCTCTTCCACCATGTTTATATTTCAAAGTCTATTCTTCTGTGTCTCTCTTCTTTTGTCCCCAACGCAGATCCTGGCTTGTCTCAGAAGGCTACATTTCCAGTCCAGGAGATCTTTCCCCCCAGTGGTCTCCTGACACCACCCTTTCTGAGTTGGAGGCCCAAGGAGATATTAGTCCCAGCCAAGAACTGCAAGATGAGTCTATAGAGCCTTGCCACAGCACATCTGGGATGAAAACCCATTCTAGAGCCGAATCTCCCGATTTTTTACATTCTTCTTTCTTGGATTTGCCTCTTGGGGGCCAGGCCAGTCTTTCAGAGACTTTAAACTCAGCAACAAAAGGTGAAATTCTTCCAGATCACAAACTCAACCCTACAGTGGTAGTACCTTTGTCGGCTGAATCTGAAAATCTCCACCCAGAACCTATCTTGAAGGTCCTACAATCAGAGGGGAATAAGGAGGAAAAAACAGACGGGGCCAATAAGCTGCCAAAAGAGCTGGCGATGTCAGGACTGGCAAATTTAGAGGAGGAGGTTCTCTCTGGAGATGATATCTTACAGCTGCCTTGTTCATCCACGTCAAAGGAAATGCCAAATTCAGGAAAAATAGAGGGACGAGCTGAAAAGTCCCCTTGGGTTGCCTTGGTAGCCGGCCAGAACAGCCCTGGGCCCAGCAACTCCAGTCCATCGGTCGTGATTCCAAGCAATAGTGACAGAATCCAGCTGTCACCTGGGCCTTTTGCCAAATCCCTGGTTGCAGAGGAAGCGTGCTCTGTCCCTCCAAAACCAAATGTTCAGGTTGTCCCAACTTCTTCCGAGGAGTACAAGACGCCCACCTCTTACTGGAAACGGCGCGCCAAGCTCCGCTCCTCCCTGGAGCAAAGCACACCGCCCGCTCAGGGCTTGTGCCCTGTCCCTGGGGCTTCATCTCCCTGGCTCTCCTTGACCTTGCCCCTCTCTTTTTCTCCCCACGTGGGGGATCCAGACTTCCATGCTCCGGAAGCGCCGGCCCTGCTCCTCCTTTCCCGCTTTTCTCAAGCCGAGGATCCTAGTCGGAGTTTGGTGACGCCGGACACACTGCAAGGACTGTTGCGTTACATCACTGGGAGTCCTTCCCCTTCCTCCCGCTGCCTTCGGCTGCTGCACCGTCTCACCTGCAATCCGGCTTGCCTAGAAGCCTTTGTGCGCTCCCACGGGCCCTCGCTTATCAGGGCTTGGTTGATACTGGGTGTATCCCCTGAGCAAGCAGCTACTGCCATCACTGGGGAAGCCGAAGAAGACGAGACAAGCGGTTTGGATGATCCCGGGAGATTCAAGGAACTTGGTGTGTGTTTATTTGTTTGTGTGTGTGTGTGTTTTGTGTGTGTGTGACATTATCCCTGTAGGTTACGACAATCTTCCCCCACCTGTGAGTGACGTATGATTCCCTTCATTCTAGCCCACATGCTTCCTTGGGATTACAGTTAGTCCTTGACTTAACAACCACAGTTGAGGCCCCAAATTTCTGTTGCTAAGCGAGACAGTAAGTGAGTTTTGCCCCATTTTGCAACCTTTCTTGCCACAGTTGTTAAGTGAATCACTGCAGTTGTTAAATTAGTAACCCAGTTATTAAGTGAATCTGGTTTTCCCATTTACTTTGCTTATCAGAAAGTTGCAAAGGGGGACACTGCAATTGTCATAAATATAAGTCAGTTTCCAAGCATCTGAATTTTGACCATGACGACTGCGGATGTTGTAGTGGTAGGTGTCATAAGTCACATTTTTCAGTGCTGTTATAACTTTGAATAGTCACTAAATGAATGGTTGTAATTTGAGGACTTCCTGTATAGGAGTTGGTTGGTTCAGACTACATCCCTAGGATGGGAAGGCTGTCCAGAATACTGTAATAGCAATGGCGTTTAGAGTTATATATTGCTTTACAGTGCTTTACAGCCCTAAGCAGTTTGCAGAATCAACATATTTCCCCCAACAATCTGGGTCCTCATTTTACTCACCTTGGAAGAATGGAAGGCTGAGTCAATCAACCTGGAGCCTGGTGAGATTCGAACTGCCAAATTGCAGGCAGCCGGCAAGCAGCAGAAGTAGCCTGCAGTACAAGACAGGTAGTCCTTGACTTACCACAGTTCATTTAGCAACTGTTCAAAGTTACAGTGGCTCTGAAAAAGTGGCTTATGACTGTTTTTCACACTTATGACTTTTGCGATATCCCTGTTGTCACACGATCAAAATTCAGATGCTTCATAGCTGAGTCATATTTATGACAGTTGCAATGTCCCGTGATCCTCTTTTGTGACCTTCTAACAAACCAAGTCGATGGGGAAGCCAGATTCACTTAACCACCGTGTGACTCACTGGACAACTCCGGGGATTAACAACTATGGCAAACAGGGCAAAACTCGCTTAACAAATGTCTCACTTGGCATGAGAAATGATGGGCTCAATTGTGGTCGTAAGTTGAGGACTACCTGTATTGGAGTGGATATTGGTTCAATTGCTAAGGAAGACAGTTGTTAAGTGAGTTTGTGTCCATTTTAGTATCTTTTTGCCATGGTTTTTAGGTGAATCACTGAATTTGTTAAGTGAAACATATGGCCGTTAAGCAAATCTGGCTTCCCCCATTGACTTTGCTGGTCAGAAGCTCCATAGAAAGGTTGCAAATGACAATCCCAGGATACTACAACCATCATAAATGTGACTGTGGGGATGCTGCAACGGTCGTAACGCTAAGAACTAGTCCTAAGTCACTTTTTTCAGTGCCGTTGTAACTTTGAACGGTCATTAAACGAATGATTGCAAGCTGAAAACTTTTTACACCGGTGGCTTTCACATTGGGGATCTTCGCATCTCTTGCTTTCTGCTCTAATGTCCCACCTCACTGAATCTTTGACATCGGGGCAGCCACTGATAGAGATTGGGGTCTCCAAATTTTGCAACTTTAAGCCAAATCTCTGTAACTTTAAGAAGTGTGGATTTCAACTCCCAGAATTCTGGCTGGGGAATTCTGGGAGTTGAGGTCCACAACTCTTAAAGTTGCCAAGGTCAGAAAACCCTGATCTAGATTGGAATGCTGGGACTCCTGATCTCTTTTTACCATGACAGGTGGTGCTATAAACCAAGATTCAGTGGATCTTGGAGATGGAATGAGCAATGGGCAGCAATTCCAGATGTTGAGCTGCAGTTCTCATTGACCTCTTGTCTGTGATCATGGTGGCTACAGCCAAAAAGATCTAGGGTTAGGTCTCTTGAGTTTAGTGGAGCAGGAAGAAAAATGGGTGGAGGGGGGACCCTTTTAAGTTAGTAGGACATATTGATTTACCCAGCTAGATTGTTGGCTGCTGTTCTCCCCTGTCGGTACAGCTTACCATTTTAGATGGAGACCCTGCATCTAACCCACTTGCCTTTTTCCCGCCCCACAGGAGAGACGCTACTGATGAACCTCTGCGTGCAGGCAGAGTCCCCCTTTGGCGTGGGGGTTCTCACTCACATGCTGCTGTCAGGCTGCGAATCAGACCAAGCAGCCTCTGCACTGGCGTTGCCCCTGATTTGCCGGTGAGTTGGGTACTAGAGGAGGCCTCAAACTGGACCCTGCAGGCAAAACATTTATTCCTTGGGTGGTCAAACTGGCAGCAAACGTTTGGAATGAGACACAGACTGCATTCACAGGATTCACTTAAAGACCCAACAAATACTTACCTTAGGTCAGGGGTGTTGAAACTCAATTTCTTTGAGGGCCGCATCAAGGCTGTATTTGACCTCGGGGGCCAGTGTGGGCATGGCCAGTGTGGGTGTGGTCAGCTTGATGTCACTCAACCGCTATGCCAACAAAAATGGTCTCCCAAGCTCTGTTTTTCAGCCGCGATGGCCTTCTGCCACCATCTACCAGTGAAAACAGCCCGTGCCTCCCCCAGCTCCATTTTCACTGGCAGAGGGTGGCAGGAGGGTGTCTCGGCTGAAAATGGAGCCTGGAAGGGCCTCATGTGGCCATCATAAGCTCCATTTTCGCTTGCAGAGGGCCGGTCTTTTGCTGTTTCTACAATGGCCTTGCGGGCCAGATCTAAGCACCCAGTGGCCCAGATCCGGGCCCTGGGTCTTGAGTTGAACACCCCCTGCCCTAGGTCCGTGTTAACCTGGGTGGTCTTTTTGCGGTTGAGTATCATGAATGCAATCTATTTTGTTCAGGAGATAGTTGAAGGTAACAGAACACAAATAATAATGAGCCATTGCATGAGGTTGTCTTGGATTTTCTATTGATCCCCAGAAGGTTAAACATTGGGGGCTTAATGGCTCTGGAACCTCAAAGCCACGTCCATGCTGCTTATCCTCAAATGGATGAGATCACTTAAACAGTGGGAGATTTTTGAAAGAGGCCGGTTAATGCTGGAGGTACAGATCTCTCAGAAATCGGAAGATGATGGGAGAAGGTTGCATACCACCTGAGGTTGTTCCAAATTTGGGGAGAAATATTGTCAGAAGTGGACAATATTCCACTTTGGGGTGAGGAAGGAGATTGAATTGCAACAGGTGGCAATACTCTTCATTGTATCCTCTCTCTGTTGCAGGAAGGATTCTGTTTGTCGGAAGCTGCTGGTGGGCCTCTCTGGCCTGCGGATCTTGCTAGGGGTCCTGGCGAGGGACCCCGAACCCTATTTTGTCTTCTATACCTCCGACGCTCTTTCCCTCCTCCTGAGCTCCCAAGCTCCATCTCCTGCTTCTGTGTCGTCTCCTGCCTTGAAGCGGCCCCGCCTGGATTCCCCACAGCGTTGCCCTTACTCTCGCATCGTGGAAGAAGGTGGGGCCGACGTGTTCTTCCAGCTGGACTCTGGCTGCAGGGTACCCGCCGTGCGAAAGGTGATCAGCGCTGCTTCTGAGGTCTTCCAGGCCATGCTAAGTGGAGGCTTTGCAGAGTCATCTCACACCACTGTGACTCTTCGTGACGTGTTGCCAGAACCTTTCCTGGCTCTGGCCCATTTCCTCCATGGCTGTCGTGGGAAGCCCTGCCAGGTCCTGGGGATGCCGTTCCCCCTCGCTTTAGCGGAAGAAATCTTGGTGGTGGCTGAACAGTATCTCCTCCCAGACCTCCAGTCCTTGGTGGACGAGGCGTTGTGCCAAGACTCTCTCTGCCCTGGGACTCTCGGGGAGGTGTACCGGCTGGCCGAGCAGCAGAACCGGCCCTGTCTCCTTCGGAATTGTGTGACATCCATTTTCACTAGGGAGGGGTCGACCCCCACCCATCGAGCTGCTGCCCTGGCAGAGCTGCTCCGATCTGCTGTAGATCCCAGCAGTTTAGCTGCCAAGCTGCTCGGAGTGGTGTTGGAATCTCCATGGGGCAGTGGCTCGGAGGGCCAGCTAAGCTGACCTGTGGGTCATTCTGTCTCCTCTTTCCCAGTTCTTACACAACAGCTGATGCTGTTGTGTATTGGGCAAGGGAGAGGGCGGTTGGAGTATTAAACAAATAAATGACGAGGTGCTCGGAAAAGGGGAGTCTGGGTCAATGGACGATTCTGTAGTGGTCAGGACTTCAGGCGAGCAAGGAGGAAGATGTGGGGCCAAGCACTGTTTGATCAGTTGGGGGCGGAAAGGAAGAGGGCAGGTATCAGAAATAAGATTTGCCTGGCAGCTGCTACACCACTGTTTTTTAATCTCTCTAACTTTAAGAGGTGCGGATTTCAACTCCCAGAATTCTGACTGGGGAATTCTGGGAGTTGAAGTCCACCCCTCTTAAAGTCATAGAGGTTGAGAAACACTCTGCTAGACTAAACAACGTTAGGTAGAAGCCATAGAACTCCTATTCAGGAGCTTCGTGAATCCTTCCTGTCGGAAAGGGACTCCTGCTTTTTGATTGATGGAAACTCAAAGGAGGAGGAGTCTCCTTTTAGCCAGGGGCCAGTTGTGAAAAGTGTCAGCTTTGAATACATAGCCTATGGGGCAACCCTGTTCTAGTGCTAGTTAGTTCAGAAATAAATCCCAATCTCAGAACTGGAGACATTTCTTTTCCACCGTACACAGGAAGGAGATTGTAGCAGAAGGAAACTTAAGTCAGCAGGAGTCTCTCAGGCACCTGAAGGAACCTGTAGAGGTTGAGATGTTGTCTCCTTCCAGACGAGGCAAGGGAGCAGTTACCCCGAGAATGTGGTCTAAAAAAAGTGGGGGGGAAGGCCCAATTGTTTAGCCGGAACAATAAATGTATTTTAACTGTTATTGTACATAGAGAAATACAGAGAGGCATGAAATGCTCAATGGCTGTGTAACTTGCCCTTATTTCCTCAATAGCACCTAAGGAAGATGGGGAGGGGAGGGGGAGTTCTTCACAATTCACACTGGAGCCTCACGCCTGTGGATATAACCTTGCAAATCAAAATTGAAAACTAGTCGAGAGACACCCCCCACCCCCCCCACCCCCCCGTGTGCCAATCCACCAAGAAGTGTGTTCATGCCTCTCTCTCCTCTGGGATGGATACCGTGCTGTTGACTTTTGGCACGAAGTCCCCTGGGATACCCTGGTCTCCGATCTGCTGAGTAAGCCGAGAGAGCTGATGGAATTTGCCTGCCCTCTTAATGCCAGTTTACGTCCCTTTGAATTGAATTGTGAGGCCTCTTGGCCCTTCTCCCGCCCTCCCCTTCTTCGCCTTCCCATGCTGAGAACAGGAAACGCCTGTTTCTAACTGCATCCAGATGGTGTCCAGCACCCGGAGAAGAGAGAAGGGAGGGAAAAACCACTTCCTAAGAGTCTTGGTTTCTATAGGCCACATTCATCTGGAATGGGGGTGGGAGAAGGGATCCTAATCCCCCCCCTTTTTTGAGGGTGGGCTGTCATCTGGCTATTCCACTCCTTTTTTTACCATTTGTGGGCACATCCAGCAGTAGCCAAGATAAGCAGTTTTTTTCCCCCGTGAGATAATGAGAGCATATATTCTTAACATTAGCTACTTTTTTCCTTGCTTCTGATGCAGCTTCAACGTCAGTGAGAAAGTTCTCCTGTTTAGTATCCCTGGGGCTTCATGTTATGGAAAGCCACAGGAATCAGCCACCAGTGCTGGCAGCTGATTTTTCACAAAGCTGTCAGTATGGCACTGAAGCAAACCAGGTCATATCACTTCTTTGCTTCTGAACCCATGTCCTTTGCCCAAATTTGGGGTAGGTGCGTGTCTCTGCTTTTGTAACTCTTGCCAGTCCACACCAAGAACACATTTAGTCTTGCATAAACCAAACATGTTTAATGTGATCTTGCCAAAGCCTTTATAAAATGATCTCCCTGGATTAGTTCTTACTCCCTAGAACAGTGTTTCTCAATTTTTCAAATGTGTGGACTTCTGTCCCAGAATTCCCCAGCTGGCATGCCAGTTAGGAAATTCTAGGAATTGAAGTCCACACTAATAGTCACCAATAGTGGTGATTGTGAGAGGGATCCTGGAGTCCTAGTGGACAATCACTTAAATATGAGCCAGCCATGTGCTGCAGCTGCCAAAAAAGCCAATACACTTCTAGGCTGCATTAACATAGGGATAGAATAAAATGTTAATATCACTTATAATGCCTTCCTAAGGCCACACTTGGAATACTGCATCCAGTTTTAGTTGCCATGATGTAAAAAAGATGTGGAGACTCGTGCAGAGAAGAGCAGCAAAGATGATTAGGGGCTCAAGGATAAAACATATAAAGAACAGTTGCTCGAACTGGGTATGTCTAGTCTTATGAATAGAAGGACTAGCAGTGACATGATAGCAGCTTTCCAATATCTCAGGGGTTGCCACAAAGAAGAGGGAGTCAAACTATTCTCCAAAACACCCGAGGGTAAAACAAGAAGCAATGGGTGGAAACTAATCAAGGAGAGAAGCAACTTAGAACTGAGGAGAAATTTCCTGACAGAACAATTAATCAGTGGAACAACTTCCCTCCAGAAGTTATGAATGCTACAACACTGGATGTTTTTAAGGAGGGATTAGAGATCTCTTAAGAAGAGATTAAATAACCATCTAATAGATATGTGGTTATATGGTTTATCTAATGGAAGTGGTGTAGGGTTTTCTGCTTAAGCAGGGGGTTGGATTAGAAGACCTCCAAGGTCTCTCCCAACTCTGTTATTCTATTGTATTCTTATTCTACATGTCTTAAAGTTGCTGAAGTTCCAAAAAAAAAACCCACAACCCAATAGTGCACAAAGACATTCGGGAAATTGTTAACATGATATAGGTAGTCCTCAACTTACGACCATTTAGTGACTGAAGATACAATGGCACTGAAAAAAGTGACAACTGGCCCTTCCACTTTTGCAGAGTCCTGAACAAAATTCAAATCGTTGGACGACCGGTATGTATTAATACTGGTTGGAGCATCCCAGAATCACTTGATTGCCATGTGCAACTTTCCCAGCCAGGGAAACTGGATTTGTTTAACGATCCTCTGATTTGCTTTACAGTTTTTGCAAAAGAAAACAAAAATACCGAATAACAAGATTTGGGGAAATCTACTCAAGATTAAACTTTTTCTTGACTTAGGATCAAAACTGGAACCAGATATCCTGTTGCTAAATTGTTCAATGAGCCGTGCCCAATTTTACTGCCCTTTTTTCCATGGTCATTAAGCGAATCTGGTTTCCCTCATTGATTTTACTCGTTAGAAGCCGGCTGGAGTCCCTGAACGGCAATCACATGAACCCCCTTCCCCCAGAACCCTGCAACCATTGCAGATACATGCTGGTTGCCAACTGCCCAAATTCTGATCACTTGCCATGCAGATGCTATGGTGGTTGTTAAGTGGGAGAAGCAGTCACTTTTTTTCAGTGCTGCTGTAATTTCAAGCTGCTGCTAAACGAATTTTTTATACAGTAATTAATATGCTGTGATGCTAAGGAGTTCTACTCCCCTGAAAAGAACTCTGTTCCAACTGCCAGTTGCCTCACATTCCGTTACCGCAGTTCAAACTATCAGACTCCTTCACTTAGGAACGGTTTAGGGCTCCTTAACAGTACAAAATGCCGGTACCTCACCAAAATGTCTACTACTTGCACCTATGGAACTGCTTCCAGACTCAAGGCGGCGGGAGCCCTTATGAAACCCTTATGTGTTTCAATCACCGACCACCACTGAGCCAACGGATTGTGAACTGAATTTCTCCTGCATAGCCGGATCACATAGTTTCATCGCGAAGCACGGGTATCCAACTGCATCACGAGTTGTACCCAAATGGGAGAAGATGCCTTAACTTCTCCATCTAGTCACCTTCCGGATGTCAGAAGACTTGAGTCCATCACATCTGGGACATGCCAGAGCTGCAACAGAAAAGTCGTTGCAAAACCTCTACTTTGTCTTAGTAACTAGTAACGAGAGATTAAGGTCTACAGCAAACTCTGAGCACACAAGCCCACACAGACGCATCTTTAGAGAAGGCTGCATATCCTTGGCTTAGGACACCTGAAATAGCCCCCCGCTTTTTTTTTTACCTCAGGGCTCTCACAGCTAACTGCTGCTAGATCTCTCTGACGTTTTGTACACTTGCCATTTCTCTCTCTCTCTCTCTCTCTCTCCCTCCCCCCCCCCCCCCCCCCTCTGTGTGTGTGTGTGTGTGTGTGTGTGTGTGTGTGTGTGTGTTACTGTTCAATAGTGTCTGACTATCTGAAGGTCCCTGTACAAGTCCTACAAAGTTTTTCCAGAAGCGGTTTGCCATTGCCTCCTTCCAAAGGCTGAGAGGAAGTGGCCGGCCCAAGGTGAAGCCCAGATGACTAGGGCTCATGGACTAGAACCAGATCCCAGAAAACGTTTTTTTTGGGGAGAGTCTACAGAATAATACAATGCAGATCATGTAAAAAAAAAAAAGGTGTTCAAACTTCAGGGATGACTTCCTGTTAATCATTAAATCATCCCGCCTCAGGGCTACATTAACATTCATATTTGATGACTTTCTCTCTCATTCTCCAACTTTTTTGTTCAGATTCCCACCCCCTCTTTGTATCTTGCCTTCCCCCCTCCACCCCACCCCCCCGAATCCTCTGAGTCAAATCATTTCAATGGTTCAGTGACTAAATTCTCCCCATGATTCTCAGCTACACCCAAGCCAGGAATATCGTCATTCACAAAACCACTCCTTAACTCCAGAACACCTCTTTCCCTGTTTTTTGGCATTCAGAATACCTGACGGGCCTAACAGACGTGATATCAGAACTGCTTAAATTGGATCAGACTTATGGATGCCCAATATCTCTCTGGGGTGTCTGGACATGAACCTCAAAAAGCCAGCTGCTCTTCTGGTTTCCAGTGTGCATGAAAAATGGACCAAAAATGGGCCACAAATGTCCTGAAAATGGCCAAAAAACAGGCATGTGCACGCCGGCCAGCTGGTCTTTGGGTTTCCGGTGCTCCAGCACATGCACATGTACATGTGTTCCGGTTTGGGCACTTGGTGCCAAAAAGGCTCACTGTCACTGCCTGTGCAAATGGAGCTTGATTTAAAGTGCTTTTTTCCACAGAGCTAGAAATCTTTTACTTTATATAGTGTTGTTCAATTGAAATTGGATACAGGTTTAATACAGGCCGCCTTTCACTTACTACCACAATTAACCCCAAAATTTATGTTGCTAAGTCAGAAATTTGTTCAGTGAGTTCCCCCCCCCCCCCGTTTTGCTACTTTCCTTGCCACATTTGTTAAGTGAATCACCATGGCTGTTAAATTAGTAACCCAGTTGTTAAGTGAATCTGGCTTCCCACTTGATTTTGCTTGTCAGAAGGTCGCAAAAAGATGATCACATGACCCCGGAATGCTGTAACCATCGTAAGTGTGAGTCAGTTATCAAGAATCCAAATGAATCACGTGACCATGAGGATAGCCCCCTGCCACGGTTGTAAATGTGGAAAATAATCATGTCACCTTTTTCAGTGGTGTCACTTTGAACCGTCACTAAGTGAACTGTTGTAAGTAAGTTGAGAACTACCTGTACTTCCCTCTCTTCTTTAACTCTTACTGACACTGTTGTGGATACCGTTCCATGTTAATACATCCACACAGTGCTACTATGTTTTCCCGAAAATAAGACAGGGTCTTATTTTCTTTTGATACCCACCCCCCAAAATAAGCACTTGGCCTTATTTTCAGTGGCGTCTTATTATTTTTGAGGTCCAGGAAGCAACAAGCATAGTCACATCATGGCTGCTGCTGTGTTGCAATATTTTTGGGGAGGGCTATTTTGGGGGGAGGGTTTATTTTATCCCATGCGCTCAAAAACCCAATTGGACTTATTATCCAAG